ACCTCCCGGGAAGCCAGCACTAACCAGGAGTGGCACGGATCAAATAAATATGTGGTGGCGTTCAGTCCACCCAGAATCCTGTCCATGTTGTCAGGGGTCACAGGATCAAACTCATCCCAGATAACATTCTCAAGACCTGCCTCAGTCATCCCCCCTGACACTACCAAGTCAGAGTCCAGGCCTTCCCGAATCTGAGTGATTTTGTCATACAGATACTGAACAAAATCCTTGGCTCTACCCTCCAAAGGGTCCTCCCGTGCTTTCTGGTGGAGCAGGAAGCAGGTCACCCTAAACAGGGCGGCCGGGCGATTATCTGATGATGCAATGAGCGGCAAAATATGTACATTTTGCTCCTTTTATTGCCACTAGGTAATTCTTAATATGAGATCTTACCAGTGTCCAGTCGGATTCAGAAAGACTGGCCCTCCAACTACTCTCTAGGTGTCTTTTCTGGCACTTCATCTCCCTCAGCTCCTCAGTAAACCAAGAAGCCAGGTGAGATCAGCCCCGGGTCAGAGGCCACGAAGGCACAACCCAATCCAGAGCTCCAGCAGCCGCCCTATCTCAGGCGGCCACTAGGTCACTAGTCGAGGCATGGGCCAGAGCCTCAGGGAATGGCCCAAGCTCCATCTGGAACCTATCAGGTTCCATCAGGCGCCTGGGGCTGAACCATCTTACCGGCTTCACCTCCCTGTAGCGGGGTGCAGCGGTTCGAAGGTCAAGGCGAAGGAGAGAGTGATCCGACCATGACAAGGGCTCGGTGACTATATCCCCTATCTCAAGATCACTCAACCACTGTCCAGAGACAAAAAACAGGTCCAGCGTGTTTCCCCTCGTGTGAGTAGGGCCATGAATTAGCTGGGTCAGGTCCATAGCTGTCATGGAAGCCATGAACTCCCGAGCCACCTCCGATGTCTCACCCATGGACGGCAGGTTGAAATCCCCCATGATCATAAGTCTGGGGGTATCAACCGCCACCGTGGCGATAACATTGCGTAGCTCGGGCAGGGCTGCTGCCACATAGCAGGGAGCCAGGTACGTGATCAGCAAACCCATCTGAACCTCATGACCCCACTTCACAAGGAGGGATTCACAGCCGGCCGTCTGAGGAACAGTTGCCTCCCTCGGTCTCAGACCTTCTTTAATGTAACCGCTACCCCCCCGCCCCTGCCCTGTGACCTCGGCCGATGGAATGTGTGGAAACCTGGTGGGCACATTTCAACGAGGGGAACCCCCCCTTCCTGGGCCAACCAGGTCTCCGTAATGCCTGCCAGTTCTTCTCCCCCCTCACAAACAAGATCACAAATGAGGGGGGCTTTATTTACTACGGACCTGGCATTGCACAACATCAGCCGAAGGTCCGGGCCCTGAGGGTCTGTGCAACCTGGGGAATGGGTGGAGCCTTGGGGGCCGGAGCGCACCACCACTCATAAACAGTAAGTGCGCACTCCCCTAACTCAATATGGCCCCCTGCTCCCACCATATCTACCCCTCCCACCCACAGTATTGATGTTCAAAGCACTATCCGGACAAACTCTGACTCCCCCCTCGACCCCGGGATCCCCACCCCCCACATTGCGCTTCCTTGCCAGACCCAACCCTCCCCTTGTTGGGCTATCCCCCATACCCACAGCCCACATTCCAATCAAACCCTCCCCCTCCCTACAGCCCCTTAAAAGTTTAACTAAAAAATTAGATAAAAAGCCCCTCAACCCCCTAGTTTTCACATGCCACTTCTCTGGGTCCCAAAACCCGTCATTGAGGTAGGTCCTCGATAGTGAAGAGGGCCATATCTGCGAGAGGGGGGAATCTCGCAGCGCAAGAAGGTCCAATGTCGTGTACATCTCCAGGTGCAGCGATGGAGGCACGGAGCATAATCAGGGATCTCAAGAGAAGATGTAGCATGCAGGTATTGTTCGATGAGGCACCACTGGTACTTCCACTGTCCTCTCACGACAGCGGGAGGGGTCCTGACGCATACAATCCAATGGGAGTGACATCCAACTCACCCTCTCACGAGATCTTAGCATATCTTCTGGCTTGGTTCTCTCTCTCTCTCTCCCTATTGCTAGCTATCAACTGCAAAGAGGAAAGCATTCTTGTATGCATTACAACACCACTGATTGCCTGTTACCAACATTGGTAATAGGGAGCCAGAGAAAACTGGACCGTTAACATGCATTCAGGCTGCAGCTAGTATAACGAAGCATGACCCACAGCTTCTAAACTAATAATAAAGGCCCGAAGATGACAAGGTAGAGAGCTTGTCGAAACGTTGCCTAACCTTTAAAGTGTTGGTTAGGATTTCAGCCAGAGTTTTTGAAAGATCTTAAAAAGGGTTTTTTAATAACTTCCGAGGAGATTATGTTTGCAATTAAGCAGTTGAAAGTGGGTAAAGCTCCTGGGACGGGTGGTTTGACAGCTGCTTATTATAAACACTTGCAGTCAGAAATGGTGGGACCACTCAAAGAATTATTTACTAACATACAATCTGGAGGAGATGTACCCCCATCCTGGAGGACAGCTTATATTTCTCTGATTCCAAATACCCTTGCCAGGTGTTCACTATTTGAGCGGACAGTCCACTTTTTTCACATTATGTTCACTATTTTTTTTCACAAAATAGTGGACATTTTTTTTATTCAAAAGCTTTATGATGAAATGGTACGTAATCTAAAGCTGTACAGTCTAAGAGAATAAGGATAGGAGAATCGCGTTTTGTCTTTTTTTTCATAAGTTAGAATGAGACAAAGATCGAATATCCATTGAACTCGATTCTCCGAAAAAATTAATGATGAGATTAAAATAAAAATATATTATAAAATTATGTACAGTTCACATTTTTAAAATGTATTGTAGCTTGTCGACTGATCTAAAATGGCGTCGAGTGATGAGAGTGACAGCGGTGAGATTTCGAATTCTTTAAAACGAAAGAGAGGAGTGTGCAAATACACCAAAGACTGGGAAGCTACTTTTGCATGGATTACCAACAACGAAACTGACAGAACAAATACAACGGCCTACTGTAAATTGTGTCAGAAATCATTCACAATTGAATATAATGGTATAAAAGCTGTCACACAGCATGCAAGCACAAAAAATCATTTAGATAAGGAGAAAATAGCTTCCAGCAACAAGCGAATCAATTCGTTTTTCATTGTTAAAGACTCCTCTTTCAGTGAGAAAGTGACTGTAGCTGAAATGGCTGAAACTTACCATGGGATCAAACACCATATTTCTTTCCTGGCTCAAGTTTGCGGTATTAAGTTAATGAAGCAAATTTTTGATGATTCAGAAATTGTAAAAAAGATGTCTTGTGGAAGAACCAAATCATCAGCTATTGTCAATGAGGTTTTGTATCCTTTTTCTATTGTGTTGGTTCTCAATAATCTTAAAAATGGAACTCCATTTTCTCTCTCCACTGACGCATCAAACAAGGGAAATCGCAAAATGTATCCCATTGTTGCACAATATTTTACTTGTGAAGAAGGACTGTGTGTGAAAATTTTAGACTATTATGAGGATTCTTTCGAAGATTCTACATCAATAAAAAATCAGCTGTGTCGAGTTCTTAGTGATAACGAATTGGAAATAAATAATGTTTCAGCTTACTCAGCAGATAATGCATCGGTCAATTATGGAGTGAACAAATCTGTTTACCAAAAATTATTGCTGGAAAATGACAATATTGTAGCTGCTCATTGCAATAATCACATTTTACACAACAGCGCAAAAAATGCATTAAAGCAGTTATCTTTTGATATCGAAAATGTAGTGCTGAAGGTTTTTGCTGAATTTTCGAATTCTGTGAAGAAATGCGAAGAGTTGAAATCATTTTTTGAGTTTTGCGAGTCAGAATTCCATGAAGTTTTGCGCCATGTTCCAACATGTTGGTTAAGTTTGTTTAAAGCGGTCGAAAGACTTCTTTTAAACTGGATACCTCTAAAATCGTATTTTATTTCTCTTGGATCTGATGAGTGCCATAAGGTTATCTGGAACCTTATTTCGGATCAGGAAAATGAACTCGCAAAGGATGATGAAGCAACAATTTCAGAATTGTATTTATATTTCATGCACTTCTTCATGTCAATAATGCAAGACACCCTACTGAAGCTGGAAAGCAAGAAAATTCTTGCATGTGATCTTCACATTATCATGTGTAAGCTGTGTCATTCTTTGCAAAAAAAAAATACGATGAGCAGTTTTTTGGAATGAAAGTTTTATTTGCCTTACGTAAAAAACATTTGCCTGAGAATGCCATGCAAAAGTTCAAGAAAGAAGCCATCAACGTGTATCAAAGAGCCATTGCGTACCTAGAAAAGTGGTATAATTTCACCGATTCAGTATATGAGACGCTAAATTGTTTCAATCTAATTGATCGCAATAATCCTCCAACTTTAGAAGAAATGACGAACATCTGGTTATTATCACCATGGTGAGAAGAACTTCCACCCAACATTCTCTTCGATGAAATTTCTGCCTTAGAAGAAGTTTATGTTCATCTGCAGGGCGATTCATCCCTTGATAAGTGGGCGTACTTTTTCAAGAAAGAGCCAGCTCCGAGTTTACTGAAACTGTTCCAGTATTGTACATCAATTCCAGTATCAAATGCAAAAGTTGAACGAATTTTCAGCATCATGGGAAATTTGTGGACTGACGAACGTAACCGACTGCTTGTACCATCAGTTCAAAGTGAACTTTGTATATTTTTTAATATTTCTCAACGTTGTACTGAAATTAAAGAATTATTCCTTAAACACAAAGAATTGATCAAAGCTGCGCAGTCAAATAAAAAATACACACAACAGCAAAGTAAAATGTAATTTAATATTTTACATATTATTATAATATATTTGATGTTTTGAATTTTAAGTAAAGTTTTGAAATGATTATTTTAATATGTGTTAAAATGTTTGTAAGAAAATATATAATTTAATTGTATTTTTTTTACTACTTAACCCACCCCACCCCCCCGCTTGTCCACTATTTTTTGGAAGCAGACCTGGCAACCCTAATTCCAAAGGAGGAGTAAGACCACACCCTCTTGCCACACTCTCATCCCATGTATCCTCCCTGTAAAGGTACAGTATTTGTTTTCTTTCCTTTTCATAGGCTTTATGTGTATTTCTCTTTAGCCAGGTTCTTCCTACGTAAACCAAGATTTTTATGCAACCCTAGTTCAGTGAAATCACAATCCACTAGTTTCTAGGCTTTTTTTTTTCTGGCAGCCAGCAAACACTCTGCTGCCCATTGGGAGACTAAGGAGACTAAGATAGATCTATTTTGGACTTATAAGTCCTCATCAGTTAGCCACACCCTCATCCCATGTATCCTCCCTGTAAAGGTACAGTATTTGTTTTTTTTTCCTTTTCGTATATATATATATATATATATATATATTATATATGTATATATAAGTTTTGGTGTATTCGGATCTTTTCCCGTGTAAGATTGAGAGTATCTTGGTGGTGTTTCAACGAGGTTCCACTCGTCATCTTCAGGCTGGGGCCTTCGGCTTCGTGCCTGTGTGAGCAAAGTGTGATCAGAGCTGCCATCTCTCTATAAATACTGGTGGGGAGGTGTGGGGTGCTGGCTTTGTTGCTGTGAGCGGGTTGGTTACCTGTGTTGTTACATCTTGATTAGTTGATGGAGTTGATGTTTGCAGATTAGTCGGCTGTTTCGTAACATCCTGTGTGGGTGAGGTCCTTGATGTGTGCCCATTAGTCTTTTGTGTTTTAATGACCTGGGTAATGGGTTGTGTGTTAACATCCTGAGTTCTAGTGTTGAGATATCCTGAGTTTTTTGATGTAATGTCCTGAGCAGATGGCTGTGATGCCAGATCCCGGGCTTTGGTTTGGCTCCAAGTTTGAGGTCTTGCCATGTGTTCATGGCGTGTGTCAGTTTGCTTTGTTTGGGGATCGGAGGGGGGTGCAGCAGCTGGTGATGCCACCGTGGTCTGGCTTCTGGATGGTGGTTGTATTTTGTCTATGGGATGGGTTTGGATTTGAATCTGGTGAGGATGATTGGTGGTGGTGTCATGTGTTATCTTAGGTCCGGTGTTAATCTTCGTGGCTGGGACTCTTCTGTTGACTAGGGCTAGTTTCCAGATGTCCGGTAGGTGGGAGGTATCATCGCCAACATCGAAACGTCAAAATGTCGCCAAGATATTCTCAATCTTACATGGGAAAAGACCCGAATACACCAAAACTTGCATACCTCTACCCGTGAAAATCTGCAATATATATATTGTGTGTGTGTGTATAGGTCTTTGGTTATTTGGGTTTTCTCCCACGTAAAATTGGAGGTGTCTTAGCAACGTTTCGACGAAGTCTCATTCGTCATCTTCAGGCTGGTGTTCTCAGCTTCGTGCTTCTAGAAGCAAGATGAAGATGACGAATGAGACTTCGTCGAAACGTTGCCAAGACACCTCCAATTTTACGCGGGAGAAAACCCAAATAACCAAAGACCTACATACAAACACCCGTGAAACCTCAGAAAACACACACACACACACACACACACACACACACACACACACACACACA